TTCAAAAACTCAACGTGCCATAGTGAAGAGCTCACCCGAAAAAATAGCATGAAAGTATTTATAGAAAAGACATAGACTTACGGTGGTGGGAAATTGTCTGAAGCTGAGTCGCCAGATTAGGACCAATAATATTGCTGATTCTTCTTTGGATCTTATCAAGGAGCTCAAGATAAATAGCAGGGGGACTGGATCATATGTGGCAGCAATATTCTAAGCATGGACGAATGGTAGACCTTTAGATATGTATAATAGATTCTGGAGACACAATGAATTAACAGTCGTTAATGCGTTATTTTGCAATTTATTAAATTATGATCGATATTAATAAATTGGAAACAAATTATAAATATATTTGATTCGCTCAACTTTTACTACATACACATCCTGCTCGATTATAGTAGTTGGTTTTATATTATTTTATTATGTCGATACAAAAGCTTCAGATATATATTGATAAGATCTTTTGGTCATAAGTTCATAGCATTATTTTTTAATTACTAATATTTTCATGTTATTCTGTGAACCTACCTCACCTTTCAGGTACTTTTGTTTATTATGTCATAAAACAGCGAATCTGGTTTTATTCGACGGAACCACTTGATATCTTTGACCATTGGTGGAACCACTGATATGACACGGGGGATGATCTTGAGAATACACTGTATATGATAAAAATTCACAATCCATCTTAATGATCTATTACTGTGTCTTATTTGAAACATAAGAAGAGGTATTTTTATACAGCCAAATTACCAAATGCAGTTCTTACCTAAGAAAGATTGTTTTGCTGTTCCAGTGCATCATGCAACCAATTTGCTTCATTTGCTAATTATTCTACATGTTTATAGGTTATTTCGCTTGCATTTCATTTAATCGGCTTTCAAATTATAAAGTTTTTTCAGAGAGTTTTTTGTCAGCTGTTTAAATTTTGTGAACCATTCCCAAACCATGATTGCACCTATGACAAAATTTGCCTAAATATGAGAATATTACCTTCCTTCTGATACACATTTTTTCAAACTAAGCATAATAATGAAACAGTGCTGAATGTGTATTTTACATCCAGTCCGGTTTTTCGTTTATATTTATGCATTTTATACTTAAGCGGCATTTACGAATAAGCAACACAGCGCTGAGTAGTCATTAAATAAACTTCCAAGATATAATTAATCTTGTATGAAAATGGGGCTATATATTACGATCATTTCTATCTGAATTTTGGAGATGAGAAGTTATCATTATATGCACCCAAACTAATATAACCAACACCTGATCGCCTTCTGTCTGAATTTCTGGGATGACGAATTAATAATATTAGGTTGGTGCAAAAATAATGACGTAATGATGTCGTTTTTGACGTTGAAAAATACGTCCAAAAACGACATTATTACGTCATTACTTTTGCACCAACCTAATATTTACATTATTTGCACTCAGACTAATGTCCACAGCCTTGTTGTTATCCATAATTTAAATAATGATAATTCCTTATTCGAGGAATTGAGAGAGAATTTACCGAATCGGTACAGACCGGATGTGATACATCATTGGAAACTTCCAGAAGAAAAAAAAATCCTTGAAACTGGAGGATAACAACAAAATGAGGATAATAGTCTGCATATAATGTAAATATCGCTATCAATATGGCTCTATGGCGGAAATAACCCCATAAAAGAAATTAAAAAATCAGGCCGTATTTTTTGATATGTCGACACTTTTGTTGATATGTTCCATACTACTAGTGCCCAAAATATAACTCTTCAAGGGAACATGTTACTTGACCAAGAGAGTTACCATCATAGAGTCGGTTCTAATGAACGAGATTTGAGCACAGATGAAAGTCAGATTTTCGAAGAATGGTTTCTTGTAAAACTGATGCAACACAGTCTTCGTGAGTCAATTTCTCATATTTCCTTTTGTGACACGGAAGCTTAGTTGATATTTGAATCTTAGACAATTTTTTTCTTCATTTTCTTCCGAAACTAAAACCACTATACGAAGCTTAAAACACGATCAAACATAATAGATATTCATTGTCTGTTATATTTAAAAATATATGTTTTAATAATGATCTGCTTCCCCAGTATAATATATATATATATATATATATATATATATATATATATATATGGTGCGATGTTTAAATTGTCGCCAAATTATATTATTAGTTTCGCGCATGCGCATTGATTGCTTTTGATTTTATTGACTGCACAGTATAGCAGAGTAAGTTGGGTTCCGTCTGTCAGAAAAATGACGCAATTCACTCCGCCAGAAATTTGGAAACGGTATTGTATACTGCTTGGCATTTGGGCTGGAATCTCCAATACGAACGTTTCAAAGTGTTTGGGTGTCACTCTGAGGACAGTGCAGAGGAATTGGAAAGAGTTGGATGAGTCTAATTGTGATTACGAAGGTGTTTGGAGTGATCACTAGTGACGGCAATGTTATGCCTCCATTCATTCACCTTCATGGCCGCAGACTCAACACGGAGGTTTAATCAAGTGCCTTGACGAGGTAGTGCTGCCCTGGATGAAGGGGGTTGCTTATAGAAGACTCTATAACTGGCAACAGGACTCTGCACCATGCCATGCAGCAGGAGAACTGATCATGGCTGGCAGGTAATTTTTGCGATCACATAAAACTCTTACATCTGGTCATCTAACTGTCCAGACTGCAACCCATTGATTATTATGTGTAGTGTGCAGTTAAGCGAGAGACCAACAAAACTTGTAACATCAAAGATGAACTGAAGGCAAGGATTATGGCAGCATTCACCAACTGAAACAAAGAAACCGTCCAGAAGAAATGCAGGTGATTCCGAAGTTGTCTGGAGGCCGTGGTTGAAGCCAATGGCGATTTTATTGAATAAATTTACTCTTAACATTTCAAGACATTTTTGTGTAATTTTGGTAAATATATCTGTTACATTGAGGTGTCAGTGTTATATATAAGTGGACACTGAAGTTAGCACCAAGCAGTGAAAAACTGTTTTATGTTTGAACGTAATCTTCAGGCTGAAGATTACGTTCAAGCATGAAGAATACTGTCGCAGCCAGGTGTTGATCTCAGTGTCCAATTTTACATTTATTTAGGCTCTATGTCCGTTATCGAACGCTTATCCCCATAAATATAGCATACTTAAAACTATATGTTTTATCATATACACGAAGACACACACATGTATATATAAGTCAAACGCAACGGGCACCTCGAGGTGGTGTAATGGTTAGCAAGCTTGTCTCGCTAGAACAATTGCGACTGAGGAGTGAGTTCGATCCTCACTTTGTGCTCCGTACTTTCGGCCTTGTGCCACATCTAAGCTACGCTTGGAAATCACTATATAAATCAAATGCTAAGGGCACCTCGTAATGGTTAGCAAGCTTGTTTTGCTAGAAAAGTTACGCCTGAGTAGCGAGTTCGATTCTCACTGGGAGCCCCATGCTTTCGGTCACATCTGAGCTTCGCTTGAAAAATGACTATAAGTCAAATGCAAACGTTTCCAAAAGGGTCTTAAAATCACACATACATATATATATATGTTGAGATGACTTTTTATTAACTTTCATCAGAAATTTCGTTTCGATATTCACTAAGTTACATTAAACACATAAATGTGGTAATCATCCATGAACGGACGATCTATATTGATCTGTATTGAACAGTTGTATTTTATATTTCGATTTTTATTGGAATGAAACACCGACTACTGGCACGAGAAGTAATTAAACAACTATCTTAATCCCAAAGCTTACCATTCATTTACTTTCAATTGGCGTTAAATGGTAGCAGGAAAACTGAATTTTGTTAATCATTTCATGACGACAGACTTTTATTTGAAAATAAAAGCAAAGAAATGTCCACCAGAAATTTAAAATATGGAAAAGATTAAATTTCTAAGACTTAAAAATGTGATAAAAAAATAAGCGGTGCGTTAGACTTATTTTAAAATCTTCGAGTGAATATTTGCCTTTTGATTAATATATTTTCTATTAAAGTCTGTATATTTAATTCAGAATTTTTTTTTAGTTCAAAATGGTTCTAAGTTCGTCCCGTTGCAAGGAAAATAGCAGAAAAAAATATTTTTCATTGGTTGAGGTGGAAAAGAAATTCATAGCTCAGTGGCTGTTAGAAGAAAGAATCTTAGTTTTCTATTCGAGAAAATCTATTCAGCGTGATTGGTTAAATATGATAGTTTAATTTCATTTTTAATATGTGAGTAACGGCGGTTGAGCCAACACATGATGACATTCATAAAGTCATTATTAACTGAGCGCAATAAACTTCTTTTTTGCGTTGTCAGATCTTAATATGATGGCGAATTTTTTGTAGAACTAGAGACTTTTAACTATTAAAATCATGGAAACGAACAACGGTCAGCATTTAAAGAGAAAAGTCACGTTTATTCTAAGAGAACTAGATCTTACAGTATTTATTATCAACGGCCATAATCTTAACAAGCTAAGATACCCAGATTGCAGTGTTGGTGGTAAGTTCAGAAGCCAATCGACAAAACATTCTAAGTTAGCAAAGGACAGCGTGAAGAAAGAGCTAACTCTTAATTATAAAAATACAGAACGTATTGTCCTCATTAAGGGAGACCACTCGAAGTTTGAGCTACAAACAACTGACATCAGAATCAAATAAAACAGAAGTTTAACTATCGGTCTAGTATAGTAATAGACGATGGAATATGCGATACAGTAATCGAAAGGAGCACAGTGAAGATGCTTTCTAGAAACTAAACAAGGAATTAAGTGACACAAACCTTTTCATTAGAAACAAAGAAAAGTGTGTTGAAATCTCCTGTCATATATCTCCTATTGTATGGCAATTGTTACAGAATGCGAAAGGATAGTCAGCGATTGGTCAGAATATTCGAGGGCGCGAAGAAGCGGAACACAACGCAAAGATACTCAAGGCGACACGGATGTTTTTTCTACATATGAATGCTAAGAATACAATCGACTAATCACGTGAACAGCAAGGAAGTACGAAAGAAAATGCGTACCGAACAGGCACAGATAAGACTGTTTCTATCTATCTATCTATCTATCTATCTATCTATCTATCTATCTATCTTAGTCTGTTCTATTCATCTATCTCAGTCTGTTCATTATTCATCTATCTATCTATATTCATCTATCTATCTATCTATCTATCTATCTATCTATCTATCTCAGTCTGTTCATTATCCTCATTCATCTATATCTATCATCTATCTATCTATCTTAGTCTGTTCATTATTCATTATCTATCTATCTATCTATCTATCTATCTATCTCATCTATCTATCAGTCCAGTCTGTTCATTATCTATCTATCTATCTATCTATCTATCTATCTATCTATCTTAGTCCATTATCTATCTCCATCTGTTCATTCATCTATCTATCTATTATCTATCTATCTATCTATCTATTCATCCATCTATCTATCTCAGTCTGTTCATTCATCTATTCATATCATTCATCTATCATCATCTATCTATCTCAGTCTGTTCATTATCTATCTATCTCAGTCTGTTCATTATCTCATTCATCTATCTATCTATCTATCTATCATTCATCTATCTATCTCAGACTGTTCATATTCATCTATCTATTCATCTATCTATCTATCTATCTATCTATCTATCTATCAGTCTGTTCATTCATTCATCTATCTATCTCAGTCTGTTCATATCTATCTATCTATTCATATCTATCATTCATCTATCTATCTATCTATCTATATTTGCTAATGAGTAAGAATTAGTTCGATCGTTACATGGTGTTTCGCATTTTGATTTTCCCCAATCTAAATTAATCCTCTACTTAATATCAGTTTACCAAAAGTAAAAAGCGTTTAATTTGCAAAGTCATTTTACCTGGTAGTTTTTTTTCAGAATTGAAGGACAACAAACAGAAAGAGGTACATTTATTATTTTTTATTAGGTTCTTAGGAAAATAATGTCTGGTTTTAGAATAAACATTATATTGTCGAATCTATTATTATAATAGTTACCCAAAAATATATTACTCATTTTTGATGATTAAAGTGTTCTAATTCTTTATTTTATATCAGTCTCTCAGAATTTAACTTAAAACACACACCTGCGCACGTGAGCGCACACACGCGCGCACACACATGCGCACACACACACAAATATTTTTTAAATATTTGCTTTAGCCGTTACCATAGTAATTTTAATTTTAATAATGAATATGCTTATAAAACGCGTACATTTTAAGAATTAGTTAATCGAAAAAAAATTCGCTTCAAGATGGAACAGAGCTTGGTACTTTAATTCAATTTAATTTAAATAATTATATTGAAGTTTTCGGCTCTTATTTTGAAACATGAAAACTCTTATGTAGCGATGGAATCATATTTTTAAATAAATAATTATATTTAGGCTCTACTTTTGTAGAGAATATTTTTTTAAAAATAATAACAAAAATACTAAAGAGCTTTTGTATTATTTACCTAATGACTTCTTTCCTATTTTCTATATTTTTCACACACACACACACACACACACACACACATATATATATATATATATATATATATATATATATATATATATATATATATATATATAACTGTATGTAAAATAGGCCTGAAAATTACTAAAAGATATATATATATATATATATATATATATATATATACACAGGGTGTATCAGAAATACTTTTACTAATGAAAGAAAAATACAGAAAAAACAAACAAAAATCTGAATATGCAATTATGTAGTACTAATGTTAATATAAAGTCGACGTCGGACGTTTCGGTCTATTTAAGACCATCTTCATGGACATTTTCATTTAAACATAATTAACATTAGAACTTATAAAAATTTAACACAAAAAACGGTGGACATAACAACATCGCCCGCGTGACGACTACGTGATCATATTTAAACGGAACGCTGATCTGTATAAAATTTCAGTTATCTGTTTGGATTAGTTGGGCTCTTATGTCCACCGTCTTTTGTGTTAAATTTTTATAAGTTCTAATGTTAATTATGTTTAAATGAAAATGTCCATGAAGATGGTCTTAAATAGACCGAAACGTCCGACGTCGACTTTATATTAACATTAATACTATATAATTGCATATTCAGATTTTTGTTTGTTTTTTCTATATTTTTCTTTCATATATATATATATATATATATATATACCAGTCAGCTTGAAGATATGCGTTTGCATTTTTTGCAAGTGGTCATAATGCTCAAGCTCAAACTATACTTAACATTAACAGGGCATAGGGTGACGGATGCACTTGTAATCGGACATCACGGTGTTGATTCCTGAAGTTTTTCAATGGGGACACCAGTCTTGAACATCAAACCGGTAGTGGATGTCCATCTTCAATTGACGATCAACAGCTGTAAACACTGCTTGAACAAAACCCACGACAATACATCAGATAAATATCAGATAATAGGTTTCAGCATTTCAATAATACCATCTCAAGAGAATTGGCATGGTGATGAAACAATAAATGGGTTCCACGTAAACTTAGTAAAAGACAAAGAGTGTGTTCGATGCTGCATCTGCGAAATTCGAATAACGGAGTTCTTGATGCAATAGTGACTTGTGACGAAGAATAGAATCTGTAGGACAATCGTAGCTCAGTCGCCTGATCATGAAGAAACATCTAGACACTTTTCAAAATTGCACGAACAGAAGATGATGGCGACTGCCAACGTTTACTGTCAGCAACTGGATGAAATACACATTCAATTTAGCAAAATGCGACCGGCACTGGTTAATCGATGACATCCAATTCCGCTTCATGGCAACACTCGACTACATGTAGCCAGGAAAAACACTGCAGAAACTCAACGGTCTGGAATCTGAGCCTTTAACACATTTACCGTAATATTCCAATGATCTGTCGCCCACGCAATAAAACATTTTGAAGCATCTTGACAATTTTTTAAGCCAAGATATTCCGTTGCAAAGAAGATGCAGTAACTACATAACCTTCTAGCTTAATGGCATAGATATAAAGATCTGTCTATATTTCTGAGACGAGGTATTATGTATATTATTTACATTATTCGGACTATTGTCTTCACCTTTGTCGCCATATTTATTACAGCGTTTCGGCCCCTTGTACGCTCTGGCCTTCTTCGTCATTCCAACCACCTGAAGAAGGCCGGAGCGTACAACAGCCGAAACTTTGTAATAAATATGGTGAAAAAGATGAAGACAAAAGTCCGAATAATGTAAATAATGTAAGATACAAAGATATTTCATATTTTCTGATTTAAACACTAATTAATCTCTATCTATAGAAAGGCAGGATGTATGTGCGTGTGTTTCGACGGATTTGCACCAAAATTTACATGCAGATGCTCCAAGTTAGCGAGAAGGCCAAGACCAACTTTGCATTTCCCAACTCCCATCGATAGTGGAAATAATCGATTTTTTCATGCTTCTACGGCAATTTTCATGTAGTTTGCGGCCATTTTGTACTGGCCAGAGGAGAGCCTATAGCTGGTTGCCACGAATAGGCAAGCAGATTCTACTGGCCAGCACGAGTGCCAACAGTTGACTGACACGAATGTTAACTAGCATGCAAAAAAATCGATAGCTGTATTCGTCACAAGTGGGAAAAATTTAAATCTGCATGCACTTTACTCCAATTGGCTCATTCGCTTGCTTAAACTCAACGTTCATTCTGATTCCGCAGAATTGGGTTGGGTGTGAAAAAGTATTTGTTGTTAACGTTCTTTTTTTCATTCGGTTTTTCCAGTTACGGGTCCTTTTTTTAAAGCTGATCGTTTTGTGTTCATTTTGTTTAGTTCTTCTTTCGTAACAGATTTAATGTTTAGTATAGAGCTTAGAAAAAATTCGCAGTGTGAGATAGGCAAGAAGTAAGGCATGTAGCAACATCAGCACGGCAAAGCGCACTCCTTTAAAGACAAAGAAGGGCAAAAATATTTTCAGTCAAGTGATAGCGATTGCTGTATGAGTCGTACGATTTTTGAATCAAGCACGGGCAACGCCGGGCCATGCTGCTAGTCCAGTAATAAAAGTGGATTCTAAAAATCGGACCTTAATTTTCGAACAATATAATAATTGTTTGACTCCCAGTGTTCACTTAGGTGATTGCTATTTAAGGTTATAACAAGAAACCTAAAGACTATACCTCATTTCTTTCGATTTGTTTTCTGCTTCAGATGCTTTTATTCACTTGAACTGATTTACCTTCAGTTCAGAAGAAAGAATTCGTTGAGATTTCTGCTGTCAGAAAAGAAATGTCGTCATCATGGGCGACAATAAATCAGTGATGAACGAAGAATATCACCTTCATCTCTCCTCGGGAAAAATGGCCATGAAACAAATATTCTGGGTTTCATTTCCCATAATCCTTTGTGTTCGATTGTACGAGTCAAGTGCGATGGTCGGATAGAGAAAAAAGCAAACAGTAGGGACAAAAGGTGAAACGTCAGCAAAGAATGCCGTCAGTAATGGATCATAGATAATGATATTGAAGAATGAAGATAGGAGAGAAGCAGGAAAGAAGAAAGAGTAAGAAAGAGAATGGGAGATCGGTAAATAGAAAGAGTAAGAAAGAGAATGGGTGATCGGTAGAAAAGTAAGAAAAGAATGGGAGATCAATAAATAGAAAGAAAGAGAATGGGAGATCAATAAATAGAAAGAGTAAGAAAGAGAATGGGAGATCGGTCAATAGAAAGAGTAAGAAGGAGAATGGGAGATCAGTAAATAGAAAGAGTAAGAAAGAGAATGGGAGATCAGTAAATAGAAAGAGTAAGAAAGAGAATGGGAGATCAGTAAATAGAAAGAGCAAGAAAGAGAATGGGTGATCGGTAAATAGAAAGAGTAAGAAAGAGAATGGGAGATCAGTAAATAGAAAGACCAAAAAGGGAATGGGTGATCGGTAAATAGAAAGAGTAAGAAAGAGAATGGGTGATCAATAAATAGAAAGAGTAAGAAAGAGGATGGGAGATCGGTCAATAGAAAGAGTAAGAAAGAGAATGGGAGATCGGTCAATAGAAGAGAGAAAGAGAGAGAGAGAATGAGAGGGAAGGTGAAGAAGTGGAAATTGGATGAAGAGAAAAGTAAGACAAAGTCAGGGAAAGGCGAAAAGGGAAACAAAGAAGAATATAGAGGAAGAAAAGAGGGAGATTGGAAGAAAGATAGAAAGATAAAAAGAGAGAAGGAGAAATAGAGAGAGAGAAAGGGAAAGTAAGAAATAGCCAGAAAAGAGAGAGTAGGAAAGATAGAAGGTAAGGGAAAGAATAAAAACAAAGAAAGACAAGTATAATCAGAAGTTAGAAAAGGAAGAAAGACATAATAACAATAAGAGAAAAAGGGAGTAAAAGAGAGACAAAAAAGAAACAGAGACAATGAAACTGAGAGGGTAAGAGAGAAAAAAGCGCACGAGAAAACGAAGAACAGGAATAGAATAGCAACACAAAAGAAAAAATCGTAAAGAGAAAGAGAGGGAGAAAAAGAAAAAGGAGCGAAAAAGAGAGGTGGATAAAGAAAAGAAAAGAGAACGGAAAAGTATAAGAGTGACAAACAAAACTGAGAGAGAGAGAGAGAGAGAGAGTATGTGTGTCTGTGTGAGAGAGAGAGAGAGAAAGAGAAAGAAAGAAAGAAAGAAAGAAAGAAAGAAAGAAAGAACAATCTCTTTTAGAGAATTCACAAAGATGCTCCCTTGGCTGTAGCAAATGTCTCAACATAAATTGCCTCCAGCCACAGATCAAACACATTCCATTTGCTATATCAGACGACCAATCAAAAGCAACCTTCATGTAAGAAAGTTCATGGGTGTTGCCATGGAAATGCACACACACACACACACACACACACACATATATATATATCTATACACATACATGTGTGTGTGTGTGTGTGTGTGTGTGCAAATCGCGTCATGACAAGTACTTGAATTTTAACCTGGAATAGATTTCATTGCAGATATTTCGATCTGTTAAAATCGAGATTATGTTGAAAAAATAAATAATTGTTGCATTTTCTCATTAGTCTAGGGAAACAATATATATATATATATATATATATATATATATATATATATATATATAGTCGACTCTCCCGTCGAATTCGACGTATGAGGGTCAAGCAGATCAGTTCCCAGGAAACCGACAGCCCGACAACAGCACATGAGATTTGATTATAGTGGTGAAGGTTTCTGTGCAGGATCATTATTCACACATTTGAAGGGCCGAATTCAGAGACCTGGTGCACTAAGTGCCACAAGGTCCCCAAACGACCCTCCGCAGGTTCTGAATTCAGAGTTGTCCTTCACCTAGACCAGTTGCCATCCAAGGCTATAGAACCCAGTCTGTCCTGATATTTTACCCATAGCTGGAGGGAGAAGAAGAGGATTCACACCTTTCCCAAGGGTATTAGCACGTGAGTGAATGTAATGGATTCGACTGGAATTCGAAGTCGGGTCTGCGATCCATCAATCCAAGCCCTATCCATTACTCCAACGTGCCTCCCGTTACATACATATATATATATATATATATATATATATATATATATATATATATATATATATATATATATATATATATATAGCAAATTCTATTTCAGGCATGTTTGATTGAATAAGTTACAAACGTTATTTTAATCATAATCCTTTTATATTCACGAATATTTCCCGTATATTAAAATTAAATGATTCGAGAAATGCACTGTAACAGTGAGTATCACTTATTTCTCAAGTACTTTCCATCTCTTTCTTAGATCATCACCAGGGGAGCAACTGGTAACGCAAAACTATGTGTAGCTATCCATTACTGAATGTTTTTCTTTTACGTTTAAAAACTATGGTTGACAGTTATCCTTTCGCGCTCATTAAAACGTGAATAGTTATCCATTATGGAATTTTCTTTTACGTTTAAATTTTATGGTCGAGCATGCATTAAAATGTGAAAAATTTTTTTACACACACATATATATATATATATATATATATATATATATATATATATATATATATATATATAATTAATAAAATTTGAATAATATATATGTATTAGTATATGTCATTCAAACAATCGCATCACTCTGGCTGTTTGTCTGTCCGTCTCTCTCTCTCTCTCTCTCTCTCTCTCTCTGTATATATATATATATCTTACTTATAAAACGCAGGTTGTGGTTGTGTGTGTGTCTGTACGTTTATATATTGGATCGGATTTCCTACATTTTCAACCGATTTTAACAAAACTTCACAGGGCGACGTAAAATTACCTTGCGAGGGTTCTGACAGCGCCAAAATTGGAAAAACATAATTGTTTTTGCACGAAATCAATTTGAAAAACACAATTAAGAGGCAGCGTTGTAATGAAAGGGGGACAACTCATATCGAGTTATACTTATTAATATCGAGTTATCGAGTTATACTTATTATAAACCCAGGTTGGTTGTGTGTGTGTGTGTGTGTGTGTGTGTCAGGTTGTGTTGTGTGTGTGTGTGTGTGTGTGTGTTCGTTTATATATGGGATCAGATTTCCAAATTTTTCAACCAATTTCAACAAAACTTCACTTTTTTTTTTAGGTAGTGTTTCTTATTGTCTTGCACACTTTTTTTTTTATTTTTACATTCAGAATGGTTTAAAAATTCCATTTACAAGACAATTGTTTATAGTAAAATTCTATTCAATAACGATTGAAAAACAATGTTTTTTGTTTGAGTTTGGGTTTGACCAATTCGTAAAAAAAAAAAAAAAAAAAAAAAAAAAAAAATTAAGACATGCGTGTCCGTCAACCTTAAACAATAATCTTTGTCAATTTTATTATTCAGTCTTTATGATGGTGGATACTTGATCTATCTCTTACTGTTACATCCCCGGGCAACGCTGGCTCTACTACTAGTATATATATATATATATATATATATATATATATATATATATATATATATATATAGTGAAGGTCGTTGAATGGACTTAATTCTAGTTCATCTCAAATTCTTGCAGGAATTCTCCAGGTCTTTATCCACGGACTGTTTCTGATCTTCATCAACAACCTTTTTGGTAACTCCATTTAGTGTTACTGTAAGTATTACCTCGCCTAAAATGTTAATTTTTTCGCCAGTTACGGATTTTGCTGTTTTATCCGTTTTTAATAAGGTCGGCTTGTTCAATTTTCGCCAAGTACGCCAGTTAATGGTTGAAAGATTGGAACCCGAGTCAAGCTGGAATTTAATGGACGTATTGAAAATATCCACAGTTACATATTTTCTTAAATTCCTATCGACAATATTGTCTGATTGAGCTTGCCTAATTTTTATTTTTGGGGTTTTTCTCGTTCTGTTGGCGTACCAGCCCGAAGTTAAAGTATGACCACTTTTTGCAAATTTTACAATATTTTTGTTCTTAACTGGACAGAATTTCATCCAATGCCATTTACCACAATGGTAACATGGTCCGGGCGGTTTCTTTAACCTATTTCAGTTTTGGTTACTGCGTAATTTAGGACATGAGATTTGCCTTTTGTCTTTTTGAAGGGAATAGGAGGTAGACTTGATTCTGATTTTATTAATCTCAGAAACACCTGATTCCTCGATAGTCTTTTGAGTCACACTTTTACAGATATTACTCTTTGACAGTCCTCTGCCAGTTTTTGGAGAGTCAATCCTTGTTCGTTCTCAAGCTTGGTCAGTACCCGTCGTCTGACTTCGGCGTCTTCTGCTGATACTAGAACTTGTGCGAAAATCAAGCACTTGAAATCATCGGCAGTCAGTTCGGCTAGTTTAAAATCATTACAGAGCTTGTTTACCGATGCTGCAAACGTTAGAAAATCTTGCTGGTTGTCTTTGACTGTGTTCAGGCATTTCCAACGTTTGTGGAACAAGGTTGTGTTAGACCCGAATAGTTCCGATAGGAGCTTAATAGTCTCTGAAAAATCCAAGTCAGTGGTTTTCTTTGGGTAGTATGAAGTCTACGAACCTACTATGTTCTGTAGTTCCCAGTTTTCTCAATAGTAGACGTACTTTTTTTTTTTACTGGGCCATTGTTCACAGTATACGTTGAAAATATCTTCGTAGCGTCTGTAAAAAGCTTCGAACGTTTTGTCGTTCTCTAGTACGTATTCAAAGGTTTCCATTGAATTGTAGATTGTACTCTGAGAGAATATCTTTTCAGAGTTTGAGCCTTTTAATGCATTTACGAGTAATTCTTTAAGTTGTTTCTGTTGTAGTTCAGCATTCTAAAGCGTAATTTTTTTGAATTCCCTTTGTTGTTTATGTAATTCCAAAAATAGTTGTTGTTGTCTTTCTTCTGATTTTTGTTGCTGATCCAAATTTAGTTTTAACATTTGGGCAACTACTTTTTGAAAATCTTCCATATTTAAAAATGACAGCGCTTTTTTGTTGCTTTGAAACACGTGTACTAAGAAGAGGTACAAAAAAATCTTGATAGATTTTTGTTACTTTTTTTTTTACAGAAAAAAATATGGAAGACAATTAGTTAAAAAAGAATTAAGTTTTTTTTTCCCTGTGGTTCCGTTAATTTTGATGTAATTGAATACATTTTCACCAGACTTATGTATTTTTTGCACGAGTTAAAAGAGAAAACTCACCTACATGAATTTGAGGGGAGAAAAATTTTCGCGAGTTCAACTCAGTTACATAAAAAAAAAAAAATTCGATTTTTTTAGAAAACTTGAGTACAATGGTAGTACTTCACTCTAGTATTGCCAGTTTCTTTATGAACAACTGTTTTTTTTTTCTGTGTGTGGGTATGTAAGAATTCGTTCTTGTTATTTGGACAGACTTTAATATTCCGTCGATGTGGAAACACTGCTTGTCACTGATGTTTGGTATTGGAATATATGTAGACGCTGGGTCTTTAGCTTTTAAATCGCTAATGTAGTAATAACAGCTTAATTTCTCGTTCAACACTGCTGTGGGAACGCGTGAAGTTTCTGTGTAGTATTCTAGTACTCTGTCGCTATTGATATGGTGAGAACGAAATTCTCGAATCTTTCTGTCGCCACTGATGTGGAACTGGCAAAGTATTGCGGTTTTCGACGTGAACGCGTTTCTCGAATTCTTCGTCGACACAGATGTGGGACTGGTAAGGTATTGAAGTTTCGGGACCACAGAAGTAAAACACGGAACACGGATTAGATGTAAGAAAGATATATTAACAACAGGTTACAGAGATAGTGTAAGCGGAGCTTACTATATGTTAGTGTCCAATACTGGTAGTCGTACGCGACTCTCACTGTCTCTCTCTATGTCAATGTGTAGAGTGTTGTGTCGCATACTTAGACCTGGAAGAGTCTATTGTGTAGGTAGTTCCCGGTCTCAATATATATATATATATATATATATATATATATATATATATATATATATATATTAAAGATAAGGACACTTACCGGAACAGTATCGTAGTGTTCCGGTCAGTGTTCTCATCTTTTTAAGATATTAAATTGCTTTGCAAGTTTGGTTTTCCTACTTGAAATTGGGCACTTTTTAACGTAGACGATTTTAACAAATATTTCAGTGTTTGCTTATTTCGGCATATATATATATATATATATATATATATATATATATATATATATATATATATATATATATATTAAACGGGAGAGGGATATTGAAAGAGAGTGACCTGTCTTTGAGTTACGCATCAGATGTCAGATGTA